TTCAACAGTGAGCTTAGACTTTTTACGCAGAAGCCAATCAAATTCTTTCATTTTGATTATTATTTGCTGCTTTTTTGTTTTTATGTGGCTTTTCCAAGTAGGTCTGCTATCTAAATGAAGACCAAGATATTTCACTATGTTCTGTTTCGGAATCTGGACGTTGTTTAAATAAATTTAAAATAGATTTCAATCATAAAAGCGCATTTTTACTTGATGCATTTAGTTATTTTTTGATGGCTTTTAAAAGCTTCCTGAAGTTTTGACATTGATCTAAATTAATAAATATTTCTATTTTTTATCAAAATTGCTTTCCCTCTTGTCCATAATAAATCATATCTTGTTCGGAAGCACAGTAGCGGCGGCGACTGCAACACATGCCCCGACTTTCGAAATGACATCGTAAAACACCGAGAAACGGCGTCCAGTGCGTGACCCGGAAACATTTGCGATCCACGGACGATAAAGTAAACACTTTAACCCGAATGGAAGCCGGACGAACGCATAACTCTCGTCCTGGATGATATTAAAAAAATGTGTCATTCATACACACACTCGACACACATTATTATGAATGCGGGATTTATGAGATACGAGTACACGCTCGCATATGTGTAGAAAGCAGGGTGTGGTGAGGTACATATAGTTGGTCCTTTGGAGGAAACTGCCTATCGAAACGTTAACTTGGTGTTTTGGTCAAATATGAAATATATTTTGCTACACTTTTGTTCTTAGAATCATTTTAGTGCTTAACTTGATATACATGTTGTGCATGAATACTAATGCTAAATAATTAATGACTCGTTTTCACTTCTAAATTTCTTACATGAAAGTTTTAATTGGTTATTAAGAGTGTTATACTACAAACATTTATTTATTAACTTCTCGAAGGAGAAGTTTATGTTTTCATCAAAAAATCCGAATTGCTAATTTTATGTTTACTCGAAGTTTCAAGCCATTCTGAATCGAATGAGACCAAATTTGGAAAAAGTATGTGTGTGTGTGTGCGTGTATTTTTTTTGTAACTCAGTTTTATTTAGCAATCAGAAATACATAAAGATTCCTATGAGCTAAAAAGACAATATTTATGAGTGATGCCTAAGAAGAACTCCAATGAGAACTTCTCAGTTTTACAATTAATATGATATATTAGACCTAATCTAAGACTAAGTCTAAGGGCCATTGTCGTTTCAACCTCCTAATGCCAAAAGGTTGAGTAATGTCAACTATAGAAGGGTTCAAATGTGAGTCCAGTTTGCGCTTATATTTTTCCTTAACTTCTTTAAACGTTAATTGCACCGTTTTCATGTTGAGGTCGCTGTGAATGGTTTCATTTGTTACGTACCACGGAGAATTAAGAATTGTACGTAAAATTTTTGATTGAGTGCGTGTATTTGAACAGGTTTTTTTGCCGTAAATCGACGTTTTATCAAAAATGGTTGGACCGATTTCAAAAATTTAAAAGCCGTTCGATGTATTTTGATGAGGACTAGCGTTTCTCAGTTTTGTGTGACGATCGGCCGAGACGTTTCTTTGTAAATCGCAGAAAAGTGAAATTTTTTCATCGACGTTTTAGCCCGCAATTTTAATCGATTTTGAAAATTCAAAAACCGTTCGAAAGATATTGGTTGGGAGTCGTGCTGATTAGTTTTTGGTAAAGATCGGCCGGGCCGTTTTCTTGTAATAAAGTTTAAAAAAAAAAATCGACGATTTTTATTATTATTTTTTTGACGGTAGATACCATAGTCTTCTAGATCATACTGAAATATTACGGCCATACGAAACTCGTTTAGCTTTAAAAATTTATCAAAGTTTGCAAAAATTAGTATCGTTGTTTTGGCATTTGTCAAAATTAGACCTTTGATCGACATTTTCTCAGAAACGCCTGAACCGATTTCTGAAATTTAAAAGACATTTGATGTATCTCAATGAGGACTATCGTTTGTCAGTTATGTGAGACAATCTGCCAAACTGTTCCTTTTAATTTGAAAAAAAGTGTTAAACTTTTCGTACACATTTAAGCTCAAACTACCGAATCGATTTCAAAAAATCAAAAACTGTTCAAAAAATATTAGTTGGGAATGCTACTGATTAGTTTTAGGTGAAAATCTACCGAACCGTTTTCTTATAATTAACTGTTAAAAAAAAATTAAGCCGATTTTTATGGTACATTTTTTGGCGATATATATCAAGGTTTTATAGAACTTACTGAAATATTACGGCCTTACGACAAGTAGTATAATTTTAAAAATTTATCAAAGTTTGAGAAAATGAGTAGTTTTTTGACAATTGTTAATATTACAATTAGAGGATTTACTTGGTATAACGATAATAGTACTTGGTCTTAATAAACATACTAAACCATTAAAGTCCTACGGAAACTGGTTTAATTATAAAATATCTTAGTTTGTGAAAATTTGATTTAAGGGAATAGGTACTCCGAGTTAACGTATTCGTTCGTTCATTTTCAATTATGTGTAATAAATCCACTCTAAACACTTTTAATCACTCATAAATTAATCTATTTCTTATTGATTAAGTCAATTATTTACACATATCCGGAAGTTCATGTAACTTGCTTCAAGGCTAAATACCAGTACCAACTAGTATCATATTCAACTTGTTTTGTTATAAATTATTCAATTATTCGGCTTCTTTTGTACCATTTTATTTCTATTATTAATTAATTAATTAATTTTTTATTTAATTATACAATAATTAACTTAATTAATTTGACTATATGTGCTTCATTTTAGTTATTATATTTTTGTATAATTATTTATTTACTTATTTATAATATAATAAAAATACTATTTTGTAATACCCAACTCATAATATTATAATGCTTCATCAATCGAAAGTGAAAAAAATCACACTGCACCAGTTAAGTATACAACTTACATATTTATTTATAAAATATTGAATACAAGTCAAATTTATATGATGATAATAGATTACTTATATACTAATTTGTTCAAATAATGTTTTAAAATTGCCGCGTCGTTTCACTAAGCAACTTCACAATATATTAGCTCCTATTGAAATAAATTGATAAATTGACGATGAAAATAATAAAAACGAAGATAAAACGTTTAATGAAAACTGTTTTTTCTTTGAATACATTTGTAACATTTTGTTCAAGTAGTTGTTTAATTAATTAAATTAATTATTCTGACTATATGTGCTTCCTTTATTTTTTTATATTTAATTATATATTTACTCATTTTCAATAATAAAATAATTATTAACTCATTTTTAATATTATTATAATACTAGGTCGTAATCCCCGCACTATATGAATTAATATTCTTTTAATTGAGTACACAACTTATATATTTGTTGATAAAATATTAAATACAAATCAAATTAATATGCTAATAAACTTCCTTTATACTAATTTGTTCAAATAGCGTTTTAAAATTGCCGCGTCATATCACTGAGTAACTTCACACTGCATCAACTCCTATTGAATTAAATTTACAATGTATAATTGCAAATTTAAAACTCGCGCGATGTGACATCACCGCTCGCTCACATATTGCACAAATTAGTTAATAATTTTTGTGGTGGCAACACTCCCCCACCACCTCCGAACACCCTCAGGTATCAATCGTCTTTAGTATGAGACGGACCTCCCCAGTGATAAGAACAATGGTAGAAAGTGCTTTGGATTATCAAGGTAGGATTTTTAATTACTATAAATCAATCTATACATGAATATATTTGAACTATATTCGATAATTAGATGTTATCAATTAGTTTAATCATATATTCAACCTAGATTTTGATTTGAATTAATATAATTATTAAGTTATTTATCCGAAAAGTGAATGTCATTTTCGTGCTGAACCAAGTGACGCTTGCGTCAAAAGATATCGTGATGCATCCTTGATTTATAACGACTTATAACTAATTTTAATAATGATTTCAGTTATTTATTTAAAGTTTTATCGTATTTTAGAAATATTTGTGATAAAAAAGTATATTTTTAGCATCTAGTACCATGTGCACGTGGCGACTAAATATAAGGCATCCAAGCATATGAATACTTTATTACGACTTCTAATTACCTATTTAACAGAGATTAATTATTATTTTCCAACAATTTTGACGATTTTGTGTAAAATTTTGCATTTTTCTGATGACGCCGCCTTCATAAAGGTTTTGCGTGCAGTGGACGCTCAGCGTGACTCGGCGTTTTTGAAATCGTTTATCTGGAATAATGTTGAGTTGCAATAGCTTTTGAGTGATGCTATCAAAAAGTTTGTTCATTTATTTAGTTTATATTATTTATATAACCTTATTTTTCCAAAATTATGAAACTTGCGTGCCGTGTTGCTTGCGTTTAAGACAATCATGATACATCCTTGATTTATAACAACGTATAACTAACTATGATCATGATTTTAATTAATTCGTTAATGCTTTATCGTATTTTAGATTTTCAACAGAAAAGTGTATTTTTCGGATTCCATACCGAGGTCTGATAATGCATCCACTCATATGAATGCATTGTTTCGGCTTCCTTTCAGTTATTTTGCAAAGATTGATTATTATTTTCTGAAAATTTCGACGATTTTGTGTAAAATGTAGCATTTTTATCATAACGACGCCGAGTCGAACATGACCATATTTGGTCATTGCAATGCGTTCGCTAAAAATGACTTATCACTTTTAAGATATTTGATTTAATTGAATTGTTTGAAATGTTAAATAAATTTTTTTTTTATTAACTTCCCGGAGGAGAGGTTCATATTTTCAACCAGAAAATATGATTTTCTATTTTTTTAAGCCATTCAATGTAATTCAATAGGGTCTCGAGCTTATCAGTAAACTATAAGTGAGATTTCTCCTTCAGATAAGCTGTATGAATGAGCGAGTAATCGACCCATCTCTTACAGAAATTTCAGTTCTTACGCTGCACGCAATGTGTTAGTTTCATCTAAGTATTTTATTGTTAATATTAAAAATTAAACATTTTGTCATTGATGTATATTGGACAGGTCCAGACTTGCATAAACTTGTCTAAACTCGAGAAGCAGTACTCTAAGAATAGTGAAGCGCTTGTTCAGCATGAGAAATATATTTTATCTATTTCGTATCTTGGATCAAAAGTGCGGTGCTACCACAAAGCCTGTAAGTGTTCATCAATAAGAATTCTATATATTAATTTGTGAATGATTTATAAGTATATCTAATTTCCATAAAGCAGAGTTAATTCGAGTGTTTCTTTAACAGGTTTATGATCCACTGATTGTGTGAGAATGATGCAAGTTTCTTATCAAAAGTGCGGAGATACCAAAAAATCTGTAAGAGTTATTAGTGAATGATTTATAAGTCTCCTAATTACTATACAGCAGAGAGTTAATTTTTGTGTTTCTTTTTCAGATTCGTGATCCAGTGGTGGTGGAAGTGTTTTTTTTTAGTTTAGTTAATTTAAAGTTTTTAAGTTTTAAAGTTTAAGTTTTAAAAATGTAGTGTGTAAAGTATTAGTGAGTGTAAGGCTGATTAAGATGCCATAATCAATAAGTGCTTAGTGCAAAGGTACGTACAGTTAATTTTTATTACATATGTTTATAATTTTTATAATAGCTTCAATGTATTTCTTACATTTTTATTCGTTGTCATTTTATTTTACCGCTATTCACATCATTACAATTTTTTTATATTACTTATTCATGTACATACATTACAGACAAGTTGTGTTACTCTCTTTTAAATTTTTATTATTTCGTCTTCTAATCGAAGTACTTTTATTTTAATATTGATGTTTTTGTGTAACTGTTTCGGTCTCTTATTTCAAAAATCTGCTTCCAACTTTTGGTCTAATATTCCTTGATTTTAAAATATCTACATTTTATAGTCTATCATTATCATTTGCCATTCAATGGCATTGTTCAATACGTCCTATTATATATTTAAGAACCCGTCTTTAGTAATAAAGTGTTATCTTTTGCTACAATTCACATTATTATTTGTTGTAACACAAGTTGTTATGTACATATATCGTACGAAACTTTTGTAAAAAGTTTTATTCTTTTCTTTATTCTTTTCAGACTCAGTTTCGTTTGATTTCTTTTTCTATATTTTGCTTTTAATCACATGTATTATAATTTTACTTTGTCATACTTCTTTTAGTCTTACTTTTTTCCTTCGATGGTATTGTGCAGTAGGTATATTTTATGATAAAATATATATCCGATATACATCATGCGACTAACTTTTTCCACAATTTATGAACTTATATCACTGTGTATTTCTTCCCATTGTACGAGTCTCCCGTCGGCCGTTCTCTGGCCGGTTGAGAATTACAATTTTTAATTACAAATAATTTGGCATTTTCAAATTTTTAATTTTTATAATGCAATCAGTAAAATTATAACTTTTATTCATAATTTTTTTATATCTTGTTATAATGAGTTTATTTAATATAGGTGTATGTTCCTTGTTTTTGGATATGCTAGCTGGTATATATTAAGTTGCTGATTGCTGGTAATCCTGTATTGCTGATTATTAGTTGCTGGTTGCTGAGAATGCTGGTACGAGCAAGAATAAAGCATAGTGGCAGATCGATAAAGGTTAGTGTTATTTTCATTGTTCATTTTTTTTATTTGAAAATTTTAGTATGCATTATTATTCGAAATAATTTTTTGGAACAAATTTGATTTTGCTATTTTAATCTGAGATTTTGTTGAGCTATACAAAGGTGACACTAGGGTTCCGCAGATGTTCTATTGATATTTTATTTTTGTTGGAGGCGTATTGAGATTTTGTTGAGGTGTAATCACTGATTTGGTTATTAGGATTCTGTTGAAAAATAGTAATATTTTAGTGTGTTATCAAGATATATCTGTCGATATTTTTGAGTTTTTTTTAGCTTTTCTATAACAATAAAATCCTTAAATCTTCATTTGTTAATGCTGCGTAGCATATTATTTTCCATAAGTGGTCCTATCTTTTGTTTCACATTTTGAAGATTTTTTTGATTTGCTACTTTTTCATATTTACTATTCATTTCCAAAGCTGCTTTAAAAAACTGTTTTGGTGGTATTTTGGCACTTCTTTTGAAAATATATCAAATCCACAATAAACTCCTGAAGTTACTAAACTACATTTCACAAATTTTATTTTCACAAATCAAGCCTCAATTTCACAAATTTAATCTTATCTTTTTTCACAATAATGCTCAACGGTGATGCGTTCTTTGCGTACCGTAGCGGGCTAACTCGTGCGCTGCTTTCCGTCCGGAGTTAAGCCGCTCTGGCGCATGCGACGCGAAGGCTTCTTTCATGTGGTACTAAAAATTAATTTTATTTCAATTAGGTTGTATCAAAAGTATCGACTGAGTATAAGCAATGTTTTTAACATGCCAAGTTGGTATTTTGGTAAAAAAAAATATGCGTTACGCTCTTAAATCAGTTCAATTATGATTATTTTGATAACGACTATTTTGATAACTAGTTTGTCACAAGGACGCTTTTTTGTTAGTTTTGAATATGTTAATATACTTCGGGTGACATTTGTATAAATAGTTTAGGGCGATGTTGCACAAAATATGCATTTTGTCTAGTATGTTTTATTGCCATCAGTGTTTCTTCAACTTTTACTTAAATCTTACTTATTTTCAAATTATTATTTTTAGAATTAGATGTAATTTGATTGCGTTGTAGTAGGGTGACAAATTGGCTTCTTAGTAAAAATCAACTATTTTTCTTGTGATAATGATAATGACTTGAGATTCGATGTTCTTTTTCAATAGTGATCCTATTCAGTTTCCTTTTCCCAGACGACGTTCTATCTTCTCTTATGTACTAGCTGCCTTATAATTATTTTATTTTAATTATCTCGTATCAAAAGTATCGATTGAGTATAATCAACGTTTTTAATTCGTTAAATTGTCTTTTTGGTAATATACTTTCGACGATATTTGTGCAAGTAGTTTAATACAATGTTATGCAAAATATGCATTTTTCTCTAGTATGTTTTATTCTGATCAGTATGTCTATAACGTTGACCTAAATCTTATTTTCAAATTATTATTTTTAAAATAAAATTAGATGTTAATTTGATTGCGTTTCTACAGTAAGGTATCAAATTGCTTTTCGGTAAAAATCAATTCGATTGTGTTAATGATAATGACTTAAAATTTAACATTCTTTTCCGAAAGTGGTCCTATTTAGTTTCCTTTTTGCAGAAAAGACTCTGACTTCTCTCATGTACTAGCTGCCTTATAATTAATTTTATTTTAATTAGCTCATATCAAAAGTATAGATTGAGTATCTAATCTTTTTAACTTGTCAAATTGGCTTTATGGTGAAAAGTTTTATGCATTACGCACTTAAATCAGTTCGATTATGATTAGTTTGATAACGACTTGGAGTTGTCATAAGGACGCTTTTTGTTAGTTTTGAACATGGTAATATATTGAAAAATATTTTTATAAATAGTTGAGTGTAATTTTGCGCAAAATATGCATTTTATCTAGTATGTTTTATTGCCATCAGTATTCATTCAACTTTGACTTAAATCTTACATCTTTTCAAATAATTATTTCTAAAATTAGATGTTAATTCGATTGCGTTGTTGCAGTAGGGTATCAAATTGGCTTCTTGGTAAAAATCAAATAATTCCATTGTGATCATGATAATGACTCAAAATTTGACGTTCTTTTCTCATAGTGGTCCTATTCAGTTTCTTTTTCGCAGACAACGTTCCGTCTTCTCTTATCTACTAGCTGCCTTAAATTAATTTTATTTTAATCAGCACGTATATCGATTGAGTATATAATCATAGTACTTCAGAGGATAATTTGTACATGTAGTTTGATACAATGTTGTGCAAAATATGCATTTTATCTAGTATATTTTATTGTCATCAGTATTTCTTTAATTTAGACTTAAATCTTACTTATTTTCAAATAATTATTTTTAAAATTAGATGTTAATTCGATTGCGTTGTTGCAGTAGGCTGTCAAATTGGCTTCTTGGTAAAAATAAACTATTTTAATTGTGATAATGATAATGTCTTAAGATTTGACGTTGTTTTCCTATAGTGGTCCTATTTAGTTTCAGTCCTATTCAGTTAGTCAGTCTGTCTTCTCTTATGTACTATCTACCTTGAAATTATTTTTATTTTCATTAGCACGTATCAAAAGTATTGATTGAGTATAATCAATGTTTTTAACTCCTTAAACTAGCTTTTTAGTAATATACTTTAGAGGATATTTGTATGAATAGTTTAATACAATGTTATGCAAAATGTGCATTTTTCTCTGGTATGTTTTATTCTGATCAGTATGTCTATAACTTTGACCTAAATTTTACTTATTTTCAAATGATTATTTTTAAAATAAAATTAAATGTTCACTTGATTGCGTTTCTGCAGTCTGGTATCAAATTGCTTCTTGGTAAAAATCAATTCATTCCATTGTGTTAATGATAATGACTTGAAATTTGACATGGCTCTGACTACTCTCATGTACTAGCTGCCTTATAATTAATTTTATTTTAATTAGTTCATATCAAAAGTATCGATTGAGTATTTAATGTTTTTAACTTGTCAAATTGGCTTTATGGTGAAAAGTTTTATGCATTACGCATTTAAATCAGTTCGATTATGTTTAGTTTGATAACGACTTGGAGTTGTCATAAGGACGCTTTTTTGTTAGTTTTAAATATGTGATATATTCAAAAGATCTTAGTGATATACTTTGAAAAATATTTTTATAAATAGTTGAGTGTAATGTTGTGCAAAATATGCATTTTATTTTAATCACTAGGTCTTTAACTTTGACCTAAATCTTACTTATTTTCAAATTATTATTTTTAAAATTGGATTCTTGGTAAAAATCAATTAATTCCATTGTGTTAATGATAATGACTTAAAATTTCCTTTTCGCAGATGACGTTAAATCTTCTCTTATGTACTAGTTGCCTTATAATTAATTTTATTTTATTTTAATGTTGTTAACTTGTCAAATTGGCTTTTTGGTGAACATTTTCATGCATTACGCACTTAAATCATTTCAATTATGATTATATTGTAAT